GAAACCTACATAAATAGCTTTAGAATTTATTAGGGAGGAGATTAGAAAAAGTTTGAACCAAATCGGAGCAGGCGTTGCCGAGTTATGACCGAAAAAGCAACATTTTACCCCCCATTCCGCGATTTCCTGGGTTGTGAGTATAAAGTTGAAAGATACAAGTATCAATACGCGTAGTGGCGCGGGGTAAAACCGGGGGGACCCCGAATTTTACTGTCAACAGCAACGAGTAAGAGTTCAAACAAATGGGTGAGAGTTCTAATTATAACACAGAAGAGGTATAATTCTTCTGCAAAACAGATTCTCGTTCATCTATTTCATTTGCAGAAGTTCTAGGCAGTCTTGTCTTCTTCGTCTTTCATCTGCGCTAAAACTAGTTATTCTTACCGCACCTCACGTCCAGGGGCCATATTTTCAAAACTTGCTAAGTGAACGTAAGTACTTACGCTCTATTTTCTTGTCTATGATTGGTGGATTTTGCTCGATAGGCCGTCAATGATTGGCTGATGAACTTACGATCTCTTAGCTTTTTTTGAAAGTATAGGCCCCGAGGTCTGGCAGTTGAAATCGTTAGAATCTTGTGGGCAAAAGTTCAGCACGAATAGTCGTTTCTTCTGCATTCATTAGATGAATTGAAATAACAAAAATATTGGAACTAGAAAACATCGCAAATGAATTAAAAAATAAGTGAAAACTAAATCGAAGAAGGACATAGAAATTGCGCCTCGCGTTTTGTAATGGTAAAAGAAAATGACGCTGAACACTATTCATAGAATAGTTCGCACATCATTGTGCAATGAAGCTCTTATATAGTGGGCCGCTGGGCAATGAATGACAGACAATTCAAATATTTTAATATAACCCATTTTATTATCATAAAAATCAAATTTAATTTTCATGGGAATTTATGATTATCAAGGACTTTGAATCTACAATTTTAAACATTATAATTCCATGTGCGGACACTTTCAACCGGGTATAACTGGCATCCGTTACTCGACAAAAATGGATTCGACAAACTGCATAACAATAAATTAAGTTACTTGGGTGCCTTATTACAGAATCTACACATAAACATCAATCAATCAATCTTCAATGCACGATTAACTTTGTGCAGATGCATTGTGGTATAATCACTACAGAAAACTAAGAACTGTCATTATGAAATTTTTATTTAATTATTATTTCATATAAACATTAGATTGTTCGAGTTCACATATCACAGTAAGCGTTATCTGGTACTATGGAATTATTATTACTATGTTATTATAAAATATCTGTGGGTTAGTAGCAACTATAAAAACTACTTGCAATAATGAAGCATTTTTACTGGTTCAACTCTTCTATATTATGAAAAATATAAGCACTTTACCTAATCATTCCCGATTATTAAATAAATGTCATGCCTAACCCTGATCATTATCACATTTCGCGTGTTTCTGTAAAGGTTTCTCATTTGCGCTTTTCGCACATCTTCGTACACGCAAACAATAAAAATCACTAAAAATTTAAGACCGAAGTGCGTAGTGTTGCACATTGATTATCACGATGCATATAATATTCATCTCTAATTTTATTTGGAATGCTTTCAATCAAGTAATAATATGGTTGAAACCCGATTTATCAAGAAAAATCATGTTAAATAATTGTACCTTATTCCTATTATTTATTAGGGAAAATTTCAATGAAGTCCAGAGATATTAAAAAACATTTTTTAAAGCATTTAAGAAGGCCCATAATAATTGCAATTGGGTTTCAAGTTATCACTGAACTGTTCGTCAAATGTCGTTATATTTAAATATTATTACTTTTTATTTATTATTATATTTGACTTAACCAAACATTAAAGCTTCTTCAAATAAATGTTTTAAAATAAAAGGCCTCAAGTGAATAATACGTAAGTTTAGCAACCTAATAAATTATTGTTTCACTTTGCTATATATCTAACTATCAACACTTTATTACGCATATATCACATTTTCTCACTATCATATTAAGGAATTACCTTACATATTAGCTATTTAAAGCAATTCAAGAGGAAGAATTTAATGCTCATATCAAACGCCGTGCAAAGCTTAATCCTAAAATGGGAACGAGTATGGGAAAAATTACTTATTATAGACGCTTGATTCATGAATGTTTGCATATCAAATTTAACAACATTTCCTTCTAGGGATTATGATAAAAAACATTAACAATTGGCTATCTAGGACATAATTGCAAGTTTTGCTCGAATCATCCTCCAAAAACTGTGCACGTTTAAAAAATTTCAAGAAAGAATTTTCAAAACTTAACAAATATAACAGCGTTGTGAAGAAGAAAAAACCGCAACTACTATCAAGCAGGAATAAGCAGTATATCAAGTACTGAATAATGTGTCTAAAATCTACGTGTACATTTCGTCATAGATACGAATAGGTTCCAAGCCATGCATAGAAATATATAAGGCTCAACGAAGGCAACTTTGTGATTTGAGTTCTATTAATTTAAGCTCAAAAATAATACCTGAGCAACCATAATCCTTGAGCTGACTAAATATATAAAGAATAAAAGGCCTCATTATCAATTGTGTTCGATTAATTTAAGAATAAAAATAAGAATATATTCAGCACCAATATAATGATTGCGAATTTTTAAACCAGTAGCATAAATTCGGCGAAAAGTTTAATTACGCAAACATAATCTAAGAGCTGATTAATCTTGATTAAATATAAAATATGTATAATAATAATATATAAAAAATATATACATAAATACTAAATTTATCTTAATAAAATGTTTTCAATTAATTTAAGTTAAAAAATAAGACATTTTCAGCACCTATATATTGACTAGAAACTTTTCTGAGCATCAAAAATTTGGCAAAAATTTAAATTATGCAACCATAATCTTTGAGCTGACGAAACTACTGGTCCCATTACCTCACCAGCAAAAAAATCGCATTAACTCACCAACACAGCTTTCCTTGTGAGGAACCATTTATTTAACTCAGCACCCAAGCATTTGGAATAATTTTTGGTCCTCAGCACACCGAATCATCGGTCATTCCATTCAAATACGACTACGTTTTCCGACTTAATTGAGATGAGTTCAAGCATGCCTCCCCCTTCCTTCCATTGGTCATTCCACTCAAACTTGACCGCGCAATCCGCATTAATTGAGATGAGTTCAAGCATGCCTTCTACCGGTCATTCCACTCAAACTTGACCGCGCAATCCGCATTAATTGAGATGAGTTCAAGCATGCCTTCTACCGGTCATTCCACTCAAACTTGACCGCGCAATCCGCATTAATTGAGATGAGTTCAAGCATGCCTTCTACCGGTCATTCCACTCAAACTTGACCGCGCAATCCGCATTAATTGAGATGAGTTCAAGCATGCCTTCTACCGGTCATTCCACTCAAANTATTTGCTTTAATTGAGACCAGTTCAAGCATGCCCCTCTCGCCGACCTTGCGCCAAGTCTTGGTGGTCATCGTTGCTTTTTCAGACACTAGTTTCTTCAATCGGTGCTCGATTATTTGCACGTCTTTCTTGTGGTCCAGGCACAGTTGGTAGGGACATAAAGTTCTGTGAAGAAAGAAACATTGGTTCATGACAACAAATTTTCAATCTCGCTTATAGAACGTAAATCACGAGATAATAATATACTGAAACATCGTATGAAAGAAATGAGCTATGAATCAATGAAGAAACTTTAAAAAGTTATATTTTTCAAAAGGCTCTTATTGGTAAAATCACGCCACAGTTAAACTATAACAGAATGCATGTTATGCAAAAAGTAAACATCAGAAGTAAATTACTTAGTGTACAACTTTTTGACGATGTTGAGAGCCCAAGGAAAAGAGGCCCGAGTGATGCGACCAAAACACAAATGAACTCCAGAGTACGTGGATGTTGATGGTTTCCATCGACCGTTTCCAAGAGTGTTACTTTCCTCAAACTCATGCATATAGGGAGGCTTCCTGGAGTTATGAAAAGCAAGCAGAAGGTGAAGCTGCTCCAGATGTTGAACATTCGAATAGAGAGTTTAATGAAGGCCTTAAAGTCTTTGAGTGAAGATATTCGTAGCTTCAGTGTTTTCAAGTACTTGAAACTTGAAAGATGTTTCACGCCTTCGGAATTGATTGTTCCAGTAAACTCAATTAGGTTCGTCCAGCCAACGAGGCTGACTAAATATCTCTCTGATCTACCTCCATCGTTTTCGTAGTGATTCTGGATGTTGAAACACATGTTTATTTTCTTGCATATCCGTCGGCTGAGGGCCAACTTTACTTCTGACAAAGTTTTTCCCAAGGAGCAAAGATCGTCACTTGCTACGTCGGGGTTAACGTCACCGTGTAAATCAATCCTTAGTTCAAGCAGGTTTGTGACGCAGCAGTGCTGCAGGAGTAGCATTCCAGCCAGCACAGTGTCAGCATTCAAACACCATTCTTCTTCAGGCAACATACCCGCAATTCGAGTGCAGAAAGACTGCTTGCAGTTGTCGACAAACTGGATCTCTTTTCTATATGTGCGTGTGTGTCTTTCCGCGATCAACTGAGAAAAAAGTTGAAATCTTTCTTAGATAAAGTTGATGCTCTCACATCGGTGATGCCAGCAGCTTGCTTACGTACACAAAATTCTTCAGCAGTTTTCTTGCAAGGGTTGGACTTTCTAACCCCCGAGGTTGAAAAAAATTGCCTCGCACTTTCTTTACATTCATGTTTGTCACGGCCAATCATTTGGATCGCGGAAATGTTTGCACGAGATGTGTGATTCTCGAAAATTTTTTGTGCATCACACAGGAATTTGGGACGCGTGGTCAACAGGACCCTATTGGATTTTGATTGTAAGAATTTTGCAATGTCTTTAACAAGCATCACATTTTCATCTTTTTCTGCATCAAATCAATCAATGAGGTAGAGCATATTAAGATTCAGAAGATAATCTGGCACATTGCCAAAGATTTTTTTACCAGCGTGAGTAGAATTTACAGAATTAGGCAGGAAAATTTTATCAAGAAACTGCATGAGTGACTTGCATTCTTGATTTGCATCATATCGAGTAGCCCGCATCTCCACCAAGACGACGAGATCAAAAGAATCTAGTCCGTAGTACAGCAATTCTTGAGTAGTTTTCCTACTCTTTTTGTGCCACTCCGAGAAAATGTGATAGCTGAGGGTAGTTTTGCCGCAGCCTCCATTGCCGTGGACGAGCATCACTTGGGGGGGCTCAGTGGTCGTAGAATTGATGGGCAGGAAGATATCTTTGGGAGATAAATTGGATGACTGACGTTTCAGGCATGGAATGGAAAATTTCCATTTTGAAACTTCCCTTAGACTAAGCTCATACTGGCTTCGTCTAAGAAAACTCAGTGGAGGATCTTCAGCAAGCTTCAGTATAGTTTTCTGTCGGTAATCCATAGCATCAAACCTTGGATTGATGCAAGCCATAACTTTATGCATTTTATGCAACTTTATGCATAACTTTATGCATAACTTTATGCATAACTTTATGCATTATACTGGGCCAAAACAATTGACAATTCCTAAATGAGCTGATGCACATTTTAACAGCTGTTTAAAACGACACAGAAGAATTTCAGCATTACAGCTCAAAGAGTTGAGGGGCCCGTAGTGACACACAAGGTTTCTGTACATGAGAATTTCTGCAAATATATTTTTGCATTCTGCACAATACATTTTATGATAAAATTCTGAATCAATTTGAGTGATGAAAGTGTGGTAAATTAGCAAGTCGCATGTATCCAACAGAGGATCAACAGTAAAAATATCTAATCTATTTTCAAAATTTTCGAAGTCTTCGCTTGAGATATCATCACAATTTTTCACCCCAAGTTTCACCCCCATATCACACCAATCAAGAGGAATTGGTTTGCCTCTAAACAGGGATTGGCAGTCTTTGTGACGATACTGCATCCTGAAAATGGCCTCCAAAACAACCTTCCCAACTTCAAAAAGAGTAGCACAGAACAATTCTGTACTGTACAAATCAGCACGAGAAAACTGTCTTCTCTCCTTCCCATTGATCCAAATCTCTCTGTTAAATGCATATTCGTCGGACGAAGTCGGTGAATGGATTGATGTGGATGCCATCTTGGATGGACCTTTAAAGATGCCCAACGTTCTGGAAACAGAATTAGCATTAAAAATCTGAAGTTTTAGTTGTAAATTAACAATTGTAAAACATTATAATCAGTCCCTTATGAAATAATCTGTACATGGCACCAAATTACCATTCCATGGAAAAAAATGTTATGCTTTGACTTGAATCCATCGATCGTTGCTCGAAGTACCAACCCATGAAATTTGATAATCCAGATATCACTTTATTTTCTTTGTATCTATAAGAATGCGTGAACCGTAAAAAATATAATCTAAAATAACAACCGTTAAACCCATCTTTGAACTCCAGTTATGAAATTTGGGGAACATTGTAATTTTTCCGACAATTTAATTCAATTTGGTTTCCAATTAACTATCGATAACATCTTCCCGTGTCACGATGCGTAATGATCCATTAGCGAAACCAGATTTTTCGATTCACTTATTTTAAATATTACGGATGCAATGTTCCCGTGTAATAGAAAACAAGAAACGCACACAGGCGCACAAAACACACATTCCCTACAATCGATATATATTCATTTATACAGAACAAAACATATTTCTTTGTTGAATTATATATCAATGTGAATTCATATTGTCTTGTTTCATCAAAGCATGAAATTTTAAAAATCAGATTTGGTATCTCATCTAATTTATGTTTGTTTCCCGAATATAATTCAAAACATCTTATTTTGAACCATGTCTCACAAAGAGCAAGAGAAATACAGCTTTTAATAACAATTGTTTGCCGATTGTTTCAAAACAATAGTGATGACAAACATTGTTAATTTAAGTGTATTGGACTAGGTTTTAAAAATAGGTTAAGTCTTAATACAAGTAGGAAGTACCACAAAATGCTAGCTTAGAGCTATAAAATCACTAAAGAATTTACCTTGAAAACAAAATGAAGACCTTTGATTTAATACCCTCCCCAGGACTGTAATATTGTAATCATTATTAAATCTGAGATGGTAAAAACAAATCAATCAAAGGCGGAGTATACTGTAAGATGTGATTGTTTTAAATAATGTGAGCAATTGCATATTATTAAATACAATGAGCACGAGTTTTTCTTACGTCACTCTTGAGTGATTTCGACTATATAGCTAAAGTTGTAAATATTAGAAAGTAAGTCTATAACAATAATAATATTGTCACAGCATTCACTTGTTATGTGATAAATGAATGCCAAATCCTCACAATATATCTTGAAATCTTTCTTCTAAGATTATCGATAAACTATTTCACGAACCACAACGTATATACAATAAATTACAATGAATAAAAGCTAGAAATTAGACCACTAAATCAAGTGAAGAATAAGGAGCGAAGGTTTACAGCAAACGTGTCAAAGTGCACACAGATGTGAGAGTAGAAACAACTGGAGCAAAAACATTTCTGTAACCATCTCACTATCAGCTGATAAGCATACACGTTCCTTATCAGAGGAAAAACAAATAACTGCAGTATATGCGTTGCGCTCGATTGATATAAAACTCGATATTATAAAACTCCATAATGAGCCTTGAGTAGAAAAAACTACATCGTCATCTAAGACTTGCTGAACAATAAAAAAGGCAACTTTAATGATACTTCCACGAATCGATCCGCGATTCAAGAGGAAATGCGCTCATCAGCTACCTATGAATATTTATCATCTATCTAGCCCTATTATTGTGGGAGAAAATATTACGTGAATTTATTCTGCTGCTCCACCACAACAGTCCGGGCTTTAATTACTTACTTCGCTACGTCTTCTCGCAGCGATATTTCAATAAACCGGATCCTGAGGAATGATTAAAAAACTTGTAATAATCATATCTTCATAGATACGTATTTGACACTGCGCTGTCTTAGCTGCGCCGACTGAGCAGCCTTTGCCTTATACGCTCATATAAACTGTAACATACAACACACATCGGGGTCAACGGCTTGTTTTGTGAAAAAAAAAATTCCTAAAACTTTTACGTATCGTTTTTCCTGAGCTTCCCAATAGGTTTAGGACTCTATAGTGGATTGCAGTAATTTCTGTTCACATGCGATCGTATGCGACCTATGAACGAACCGATCAATTTCCACCAGTATTGACGAGTATATACCAGTATATGCCGTATACGTATACCAGTATATGCTGTATAACAGTATACGTATACCGGTATATGCCCTAGCTATAGGTATGTCGTAAACGAAAGCCGAGGTGACTCGTTGAGTCATTCAGAGCTTTATTCAACAAGAACGCAACATAGGGAAACAAAATTACTTTACTATAAAACCAGTAAAACGATAACGTGAAGGGAATATATTCATATCTGAATATCATATAAATACATAAACTAATTACAAAATACTTATAAGAAGAACAGTAGTTATAAGTATTGATCGTACGAGAGTCGAGCCAATTCTAATAATAGTCATTAGTTCCAGAGCGAAGCCACTCACTGGAATAAACTATAGTACGGAATACGATGTACATGTGAGCGCTTCAATCAACAGTAATTACGCGACACTACACAAGTTTAAAGCTAGTTGAATTTATCGCTTGGATTGCTAAAAAAATATAACTCAGTACTCACTGCAGTGAGTGACAGAGAGCGCATTTTCTCGTCGACGAAAAAACGTAGTCACGGACAGACAGACGGACGGACATGACGAGCACAATAGCGCTTTTTTCCATAAGTGAGAAAATGCACAACAAATAAATATTTCAATGGATTGCAGTCACGATATGAATTGGTATTAAATGCAGTGGGCTGCTCTGTGAAGGGTTCGTTCGTTCATACGACTTCGACGTCGGTTAGGGAGTTGGAAATATAGTAATTTCTTATGATTGTGTACATAGGATTATTGTACAAATATTTGCCAGAAATTGACGCATACTCGATTTTCTGTAATAAATAAGTAACCTTATAGAAGAGGTGGCAAATTTTCGCTCGAAATGGAGCCCTGAGTATCGGGTTCAAACCTCAGTTGGCTAAGAAAATTATGCAATTTCCAGAATTGGTGGCATGTAAAAGCCTTTTTTAGAATAATGCCAGCATTATTTTACAATTATGCCATCATATATTCGACTAGCATCATATATTCATATAAGTTCGACTAGCAAGTTGTGTTGAGAATTAGAACTTATGGACTTCATTCGTCTTGAAGATAAGTAATTCAGAAAGATAGGTAATCAAGCCCGCTATGCCGTCACACATTTTGAGAAAAAATATATTGTCTTAATGAAAAATTCATACATCAACCCTTATCAGAGAGGTGTATGGGAAACTTGAATTTCACGATCGTCAATTTAGAACTTCTACATGGCGCGTCAGGCCATAAACTGGGACAATACACGAAGGTATTATCGTTACGATCGATTAAGAACTCGAGGTCGAGCAGTTCTTAAGACTCTGCATCAACGCGCTCAGCTGCGTTGGTCGCTTACGGAGTTTCTTAACTATTACTAGGTTCAATAACTGCCCTTATAAATAAGATCCAAGTTTGAAATTTGGAATGCTATCTTGGCTAATTATTTTCAATACGTAGACATTAACATGAATTATGTAAACTTTTTATTTCAACCGTTATCAGGGAGGGAAACATTTTGCACCCCGATGTTCGTAAAGCGTGCGACTTTTCTAACATTTTCTTGATATACGTCGGTTTAACTATTTATTCTTCATTGATCGCTACCTCGTCCTTTGTAATGAGTGCGGTGACAGCACGTGGCGGGGTGTGTGCCGTACATTACCCTTTGCGGTCTACAGCTTCTTTCACACAAGCCTCTTGAAAGCCTGGGGCTGTCAATGAGGCGGAGGCTGAAATTAAGCTTTCTGGTCAAGTTTTCTCTAAACGCACAAACAAAATAATTTCATTTGGCATTGGCGTTTATCAGTGAACGGTAAACGGTAGAAGTAAAGGAAGGTTAATGAGCCGTTTTTGGTTATTCATAGCACCCTCGAATACAACGGATATTTAGATAATGAATTGCCTAAAGTTACATCAAGAATAACATACAAGTATACTAAGAATAAAGTTTTATTATATTTGTGAAGTAGTTGAAGTTATTTAAATTTGCAAGCGCAGTCATTAAATGTCAGAGTTAAATCTAAGAACAATATATTTATGCTCATTTAATAGAAAAAAAAAAACAATGCAATTTCTTAATCCACGTTTCAATTTAAAATTCCAAGTCCTATTCCATTCCGAAGTAAAATTCATGGGCGCATAAATTTCTGAACACAATCTCAAAAAATTCCGTTGGGAATTCGCATGTAAAACTTGTCATCAAAGTAAATATTGGGCATATATGTAAATTATGAGAAATTGATAAAATGATGACCTTATAACTTTAAGAAAGATACAGAACCACGCTTGCATTTGCTAGGAGTTCAAAAATAGAAAAATGTCGAAATATTCCATGGCCGCTGTGTTTGCCTGCAGAATCGGTCTAATGATCAAGAAACAAACAAAACGCAGCTGGAAAATGTTGCCAGACAATACGCAATGCATTGAAATTCTACACAATGACACTCCCTTCTATAGAATTTCTTTGAAACTCAACGAGTTTAGGGTTTGAAGTATTTTCCGAAGCTAAATTACGTAGAAGAGGCGAACATTGAAATCATGAAAGGATCTTAAATGAATGAGGAACTTGGGTTTAAACGAATTTGACTTCATATCCTTTCCATAAATAAATTACTTTTATATTCTGTATTTTAAAATTTTCGGGTATTTCAAGAGAATTATTTGGTAGTTCAACATAAAACATCCTACAACTCATAAAAATTATAACTTTACCTAAATATTTATTGAGATCGAGGACTAAATCACATTGTTTTAGTCTTGCCAGCAAAATTTGAGTGACAAATTTTAGAGTGAAGTTATCGTTACAGTATCTACCGAATCAGTAACGCGGTTGCCTCGAATCATTCATGTTGTTGTCAGAAAAAGTTTAAGAATTCAATATCAGAGATCAATAATTCTCATCTGGTATTAAATAAATTAAGTTTTATGAAATGAAGTCTTTCCTTAATGCATTTTTATTTGGTACTCAAAACTCTCACGAAATATAAACAATTCCTCAAACTCTACATTTTTCATTTGCGTGCCTTTGCAAAAACTGACGAAGCTCTTTACTTATTTTTCCTTCAATCAACGCTGCTGAAAACGGCGATATTCGTGCTAAGTCATCATTCAATTTTGATTATTCGCATTGTGTATTCTGTCTTTGTTCGTGTTTTTATATCCATTCTCTCTACGTTGCCTGTAACGTCCCCACTCTTTTCATCTTTATTTTAAAATTTTAATCACCAACAGCCGATATTCTTAATTTTTATTCCACATTCAGAAAAAATTTCCCTTTAATTCCCTTAGCGACCTTCTCCTTCTAATGATCATCACATTTACTCGACTGTCAGCGTCATCACATATACTCGACTGTCAGCGGAAGCTGGAGAACTTTACGTTTTAATCTGTGATGCTTGAGGCGAGTGGACTGATTGCTTTGGCAAGACCATCGCCCGTGTTTACCCTGAGAGGGAACTCAGTTTACCGACTTCAAAAGCCTCCAGGCAAAGCTCCAACTGAATGCTTTTTGAGAGCCAGCAGCTCCAGCAGACACGTGTCGTCAAACATGTCAAGATGAGGAACGCAAACCCTGCACTCGCGCGATTATCAAGCATTTCCATCGTTACTGGCTTTCAATTAGTTTAGAAATACCGTCCCAACGGATGGCATTACACGTAGATTGAAATTAACCGAGCATAAATGTAAATCAACATGGCATCCTTTATATAGGATAATTCAAATTTTATTAGAATAATTGCTACTTTTTCTTTAATATAATTTTATTAAATTTTAAAAATTATCATTTATTCAACATTAATTACTAAATTAATTTAATATTTAATTATTAAATAGTTCACTTGTTTCATCAGAGTTGTGTGCGTTAAATTTGACCTGAGTATTGATTCTAACACTTATGTACGATAGTAAACATGAATTTCAGTGTGAATTCTGAATTTATAATTTCTGCTGCATATCATACGCAGAAGATATTTAGATTAAGAACCATAATGATATGGCGTGCCATACTGCTCACTTCCATGCAGCAAACGTGGTTCTTAGTATCATTAATAATTAAACTTTTACCGTATTTTATGGTCTCTAATCGTGTAGCAAGCCCTTCACAGCTGCACCAATATAGCACTATCAGCTTTAGTAATAGCATTATTCGTTGAATATTTTTATTGGGCTTCATTTGAAAAGAAAGAATTATTGTTATTATTATTACACGTGGCTCGAAGAGATATGTGTAATAATTCTATATATGTACAGGGCCCATAGAAATATGATCACAGGGAAATAGTATTTTTGCAGTCGAACAAGACAATTTCAATCAAAAGTGATATTTCGCAACAAAAGTTTATTTCAGTGGCAGACCTGAGTTAGTTGTTTGATAATATTTTTTATTATTAATTTACTTGAAAATTGTTTTCAATTCATAATTCTGACGCATTTTTTCATGTGATGCCCAATTTTGGGATAATTTCTATGATATTTCGAGATTTTATCAGAGTCCGCCGCTGGATACTCGGCGTGATGTCCGTCAGTGTCCGCCGCTGGAAACTCGGTGCGATGTCCGTCAGTGTCCGCCGCTGGAAACTCGGTTCGATGTCCATCAGTGACACCACTGGATACTCGGCGCGAATTCCGTGAGTGTCCGCTACTGGAAACTCGGCGTTATTTCCATCAGTGTCCGCCACTGGAAACTCGTCTCGATGTCCGTCAGTGTCCGCCACAGCGGATGGATGTCGCGCTGTCCTCCATGGAAGAGGCGCGGGCGCTGAGAGCGTTGCGGTGTCGGCGCGCCGGTCGAGCGACAGAGCGAGACGCCCTCGCGCTTAGGGAAGCTGTGCCGAAATTAAGTGTGAGCTTCAAGCTCATCACTTGTGACACTGAGCGCTAGTTCACTCTGTGAAATTAACGAGATTTTGTCCAAATTTCAATACTCGTATGTTGTTCATCTTCAAGATCAACACTTGTGACGCTGAGCGATAGTTCACTCAGTAAAATTAACGAGATTTTGTCCAAATTTCAATACTCTTATGTTGGTCATCTTCGAGCTCATCATTTGTGACGCTGAACGCTAGTTCACTCAGTTAAATTAAAGAGATTTTGTCCCAATTGCGATGCCCTTTCAGTCTTATGTTGGTCATCTTGGCCAAGTTCGGCTCGGAAAAAATGTATTAGTGCTATACGCAGCAAGTGTATCAATATTTGGACAATATGACTCATTATTTACTGAGTGATTGATGATTACAGCTTCACGTTTAGATTCCATACAATCAAATATTTTAACCTTGAACGACCATCTCCGATAACTGTGCTCGAATAATAAGCACCGTGTCGTCTTTTTTTAATTAATTAAAGTAGATTTCTACTTAGTATTGATTTAAATGATTTATTTCTGGAATGTCTCTTCCAATTATCTATGTTTCTAAAGTTGATTTATTAGAAAAAAAACAAGTTTTAATGCATACTCAATCATCAAGAATGACTTTTATGTATAATATTACCGTAAATTATGTAGGTGTCATTATTTGACCGATATAGCTATTACATGGACTTTTTGACCAATTAATACAATATATGCATACTGAGTGACTACAATATTTGAAATTGCTGTCATCGAGATGACTTCCAACAATGACTGACAAGTTGACAACTTCAATGAAATGTGATAGACTAATTATTATTTTTTTGCGGTATAGCAATAGAGTTTCTCGGTAACGCAATCGCAAGCTGTACTATATGGCAGAAACGGTAATATCGATATGACATGGTAGAGTACCCAAGGTAGTTAGAGGAAATTGATGAAATGAGAAACGAAATAAACATCTTTATTTGTCATAGTCTCAACAGCTCGTGAAAGCCATTGATCGTCATTAACTGCACTCACCTTATATACTGTACTACCCGATGTGTTACATGTCAAATACGAGTACTAGAACTATTATATCAACCCCTAGACATTTATTTTTCTTGTAAACACAAAATGGTTAGTTTTTAATGACTCCAGCTTCGATCATTTCATCGATCATCTGCAGTGTCATAGTATTCAAAGTTCGGTTCGTTTCGAACTTTTTCCTCATGATTTCTTCCAGCATACGGTTTTCGCTATCAGTCTTCTTCTTGATGAAAATGTCCACGTCAAAAACATCATCTGAATCTTCGTTGACCATGGGAATCATCATGAGACCAGAAATGAGCCCAAATTTTTGCTTGCTTTTGAACTCATCCTTGAGTTGATTCAGAGTGAGCTTGGAGTTTGATCCGGCAGCTTTCAATACACATTCGTAACTTGATTGGTACACTGACAACACGGAGTCTAAGTTTTGTTTTCTGATACCCTCATCTAAACTTGAGTAGAACAAGTAGTTGAGGTCCAACGCTAACGAACCAACGCGGTTGAACTGGAAATCTAAGAATTTGCATTCGACCGCTTTTCCAGCGTTGTCATACCTGTAAAAATTTTAAATTAAATGATAAGTAATCAAGCATTTTTCAAATGTAATATTCGTTTTTAGATAGTATCTAGCACAAACGGTTACTTCTTTATAAGTTTAAATAACTGCCTTTGTAATTGGTACTGACGGAGGCTGTATCTACATTCAAAACTACTCAAAATGGTCGTTAAAAATGGAAGTACAAAAATTACATCATTACTTGTTTCATCTTCTTGAAATTAAAACCCAAACAAACGAACTCGCCTGAAAAGAAAGTTATTCGTCCAGGCATCTCCGTGACAGATTGAGGTGAATTCTTGTGAGGAGAGCAACATTTGGTCATAGAAAATTTCATGTGCAGTAGTCAGGCACTCTTTGAAGAATTTTGCTGCTCCTTCGTAGCCAGGATTGGAGGTGGCTGCTACGATTCCCGTGCAAATGAAAGTTTTGAAGAAATCCTCGAAAGAAGCCAGGTCACCTTCTTCTTTGAATATGTAGAAAGGATCTTTCAAGCATGGCCAAATTTTCCTGATGTCTTCTGCCTTGTAATTATTTTTCGTCAGGTAGAGGTTTGATATTGCATGGAGATGTGCGAGTTCTCTGCAAACGAGAGATAAGTGTTCCATGTCGAGAGAAGTTTTGCGGTTGTAAAGTTTGAAACCACCACATCTCAGGTCTTCTAGGAACAAAACTTTCAAAGATTCCTTTTCCACGCATAAATAACACTTTGGGATTTGCAATGTATGCTGTCCAATGGATTTAAGCTCTTTGTTCAAAGCAGGAATGACTTTCGAGTAGAAGTCGAATTCTTTCATGTAAAGATATTCACTGAAACTTGACAAAGATGACGACTGATTGCGAGCCGCTTTAACAATGAACGAAATTTCTTTAGTTTCTGCATCCAAGTTGTAGACGACTAATATACTGGTGAGAGTACCCAAGTAATTGTCGCCTTTTTTGATGAAATCTCGTACTTCATAGCTTTGAAATTTTGCTTCGGAACCCACGGCTTCTGTGAGCGCCGTTATCACGTCTGTGCTGCAGATGAAATCATACTCAAACTCGTCGTCCTGTGTCACTGTAAAAATCGTTATTAAATCAATAACACATTATGAATCGTAGGTAACTGTCGTTACAAGGAAAGAATTGCTTTTGTGACGTCAAAGTATGATAGGCTTTTTTGATTGGCAAGAGTTAATTCATTGGAAAATTAAAAAAATAGAAATTGAGCTAATAAGATTATTCAGCATTCATGTATGAAACATTCATTAATGTATACGTGATAATAAAAATTATTTCAAAATAATTTACCCCTAAGAATAAAGCCTATTGATACATTTCATAGATACTTTCATAGATACAAAATACTGTCAGCTGTAGACAAAAAAACTATCGAAATAAACACTCGACCATAGCCTTACTTTCAGCTGCCAATGTCGTCGAAAACTTTTCAGAGCCGCAATACACTTAATAAATTGATAAGCCAAGCTTCAAGATTCTTAGGAAATTAAGAGCAATTATTTGTACGTAAACCTAATATTTTCCACCACAACGATGTAATGGTTAATGCTCTCGCCACCACCGCTACAGCACAAATAACCGTTTCATCTTATATAGCACAGCATAGATCGTCTACTGATAAAGTATCAAGATGAAGAATACGATCATGTCTCATGATTACTTGAAGCGAGATAAAGCAACGAGTCCTCATTGGCCCTTATTCACTATCTCGTATATTGAAATTTATTTTCTTATTACTGAGAGAAGCTGGTGCGCCAGAATCAGTGTGCACGGATGCTTGTACTCAACAATTTTCACAGCCATCGTACGATTAAGCATGATAGTATAAGTTCAGTTTTTTTTTACAGATTGTTGCGAGTCTTTGCTGGCTATTGGCTGATGGTGTGTCGCGGGGCAATGATTCGACCACACCTGGTCGCAAAAAGAATTTTCTCGAGAATTTTAGATAGGCTATCTTGCTAATCACGATGACTATCCCGTAGCAAAATATGTTATCATTCTTATTTAAAAAAAGCAGAGCATAAAATCGTTTTTATTCGTACCATATCACACCCGAGGTTACGATATTTATTTTATATTTATCATCAATGTTTTTTATTTTATATAATCAATATTTTACGATAAAAATTGATTTGGTTCAGAATACGCCTCACAAAGCTTAGGAAATTTATATCGAAAATCTTGATTATGATTGGAAGTTTTCGAAATGTTAGTGTTTGGAAGAAATTATTAGATGGTTTTCTGTACTTTTTTATCGTTATATGCAATGAAAAAAAACATTTGAGTTTTGAAAAATTAAGGATACGGAATCGAAATTCCCCTTTCCTTCCAAACTTTACCAATGCGATGAAATCGAAAGACAAAATCAAATATTGAAAGACAAAGTTATTGAAATATTGAAAGACGAAGTGATTGAAATATTGAAAGTCAAGGTGATTGAAATATTGATAGACGAAGTTGTTAAGTAATGTGTGGAATAATGATACTATCTTCGTGACCATTTTTAATCTTAGAAGGCCATCACTATGCGGTTGTTGTGGCTTGTTTATTTAAGATTTATGCAAGCCTGTGGGTACTCCTAATCAAGGGCCCTTCTTGTTATCAGTTGAATAGCTTATTGCTATCAATTAATGACCACCATACCAAGGACGGGGCACCGAATAGCTAATATACTGTCTATGTTTGATTTTCACTCCAAAGCAAATGCATCGGTTTAATTAACATGAATGTTAATAAACATCTTTTCACTATTGAATCCCTGCTGGCACGTATTTTTAGCGCATTTTCTCATTTATGGAAAAAATGCACTATTGTGTTCGCCATGTCCGTCTGTCTGTCTGTCCGTCCGTGACCTCAAGTTTTCGTCGACGCGAAAATGCGCTCTCTGTCACTCACTGCAGTGAGTACTGAGTTATATTTTTTCTCTTTGTCTATTTACGAATAACTTTATTTATTTGCGATTAGAAATTATTCAAATCTATTAATTATTAAATCTATCAATACTGACCTCGACAGTGCGACAAGGTCAGGTCCTGAAAACTCTGTGAACTGAAATATATAATCAGCCAGGCTTTTCTTAGATTTATTTTTATTTTCCGAGTTTTTCTGGTGATTAACTCCAACTCTTCTCGGAGCTCTTTAATTCGTTTAAAGAGAGCACTAGTTGGTTTAATTTGCATTTTGTTTTGTGCCGGAGTAGTAATTAGGTTCATTATTTGTCGAGGCCATGCATAATACACGCATTAAACCATACAAAGAAAATTTGACTGATTGGGGACTTTATTAATGTTAACTTTTAAAATTTTACTTATTCAGTAAAAGGCGAAAGCTCGAACGAAAATTCTAGCAGGTTGATGATCAAATAAATCAAGCTATTATTAATTACTAAACACAAATCGATTAATAAATTTGTTTCTCATCTCGAATGACGGTTAATTGCACTGAAATTTTCTCATAGAAACATGAACCTAGACAGCTAGGTTATCGAGCGTGATGCAACTGCCAGAACGAAAATATAAAAAAAACTTTTGTTACAAAATTTATGGGATTTTTACGATTGATGAATTATCAGTAAATAACAATTTTCCTCACAGTATTTTGGGCGTGGCGTCATATATAACTGTTCATGAGATTAAAATTATCCTGACGTTATTGTTAATCTCGCTGTCTGTTGAAAAATTAGTCAGCATATGAAACTGCTATAAGAAACCCCATCCAAATGACAAATTTTCAATTCACATTTTCTCTGACACATTTTCAATGCACATCTTCAATGCTCATTTTCGATGAACATTTTCAATTAACATTTTCTATGCACACTTACAAGGCACATTTTTAGAGCACATTTTCAATGCACATTTTGAATGCACATTTTCAATGCACATTTTCAATTCACATTTTCAATGCACATTTTCAATTCACATTTTCAATACACATGTTCAATGAACAGTTTCAATGCACATTTTCAATTCACATTATCAATTCACATTTTCAATGCACATTTTCAATTCACATTTTCAATGCACATGTTCAATCCTTAGTATCCTTAGTATCCTTAGTATTTGTTTGGGACACAGCAGTCCCAGGCCACGATGGATCGCCGCCTCTGATTATAGTTCATCCGCCCTCATTTGGGCCACCTGATGCACGATGCTGTTGCTTGCTTCTCGACACATTTTCAATGCACATTTTCAATGCACATTTTCAATTCACATTTTCAATGCACATTTTCAATGCACATTTTCAATGCACATTTTCAATTCATATTTTCAATGCACATTTTATCTGACACATGAATGCTGTTCCAGTTCGTCCGTCATCCGCTCTGTCCTCGATCACATCCTCTCTTTCTCCACGCTTCCCTTATATTGTATTGCCAATTCACTCATTTTTCAAATCAAAATTATTAATAATTAAATTCTCTTCTTTTGGAAATTAAAAATTGTAAAGATATTTTAAAGCAATCCGTCCTGTAACTTTTAAAATTACTATCTACAACGCTAGAATTTTCGTCAGTTTAAGTTGTCTTGCCACAAGTCATCGCGAACTCCAATCTCATCTCTCGCAACTGCCTTCATAGTATAGTATATGTAATAAAAACATTCTTCTTACCATCCTACACTTCATCCTTCTTTATTTATAATAATAAATATCTGCACTACCTGCATTTTCTCCCGAAAAAAAAAACTCATAAAGCAATGTACTTGCACTCAAATACAAATCTCTTCAAACTCGAGTGATTCCACACATGTCCACAGCGGGCGAGCTAACGATATTATTTAATGCCTATTGACCTCATATTTGATTAGCAGTTTCACCGCAATGCGTGTCACGGAAGTGCATTATTTCACAGTGCACTATTGTGCAAGCGCTACGCATCCAAAACAAACATCCATTGCTGCAGTCTGTGAAAATATTGCAGCCTTTGTTGTAGTCGTGAACTCCGTGACAATGAATGCGATTCCGTAGTATGCTATTCTTTGCCTCATTATTGCATAGTGTTCTTTTAAAGTTTATTGATGTTATAGGAATCATTTCCACGGTATTTTAAAGGTGATTTTTAGGACCAGTTGTGGGTAACGGTCGAAGACTAATAAATAACGGTTAAGAAAACTGTCTTTGCGGTGAAATAAATAACATAAATAATAAATAACGGTTAAGAAAAAACCTTTAAACTGTCTTTGCCCTGTTTCTAATTTGAAGAATATGGAACCTAACATTTATCGCTTGGAATTTAATATTTTCCACGGAAAACTATAACTTGCAATGAGCAGTAATGACAGATAGTGTACTCTCTCAATTTTCATTATTGGACAATACGCATGTCGGCGCACTGCATTACAAACATCTTGCGTTTTTAAAATACTTACCAGCATGAAGCAAAATAAAGAAACTCGATTCGAACTGTTGTTTATTACCAGATTTATTTTATAAATTTGAAACGTACGGCGTTACAATAATCATATATAGCCAGCCTCAGCCCATTATGCATCGGCAGCCTTATACCAGCCATATTAATATAAGAGATACTTTTGACCGTGATTTCAGGTCGAAATACCAGTCATAATTTTCATCAATAATACCATCTTCAACGATACGTTTGCCAGCGATATAAAGGCAATACTTGTGACTGATAAACTTGTACCAGCAATACACTCGTGTCAGATACACCTGTACCAGCGATATACCCGTGTCAGATACACCTGTACCAGCTATATACTCGTGTCAGATACACCTGTATCAGCGATATACCCGTGTGCCGTGTCAGATACACCTGTACCAGCGATATACCCGTGTCAGATACACCTGTACCAGCGATATACTCGTGTCAGATACACCTGTATCAGCGATATACCCGTGTGCCGTGTCACATACACCTGTACCAGCGATATACCCGTGTCAGATACACATGTACCAGCGATATACCAGTGTCAGATACAGCTGCATAACTTATACACTGTATACAGCTGTATATTTTATGCACTGTATATAGCTGTATGACCTATACAGTGTATAAGTATATAATATACAGCGAATAATACACGGCGACGTGTCAGCCGGAATAGAGGAGTCTGGGCTGGAAGAGCGGCGGAGAAGCGCTGCTGTGTTGAGATAGAAAACAAGGGCGGCGCCCGCGGCGGGAGGGGGGACTTCGCTGCTGCTGTTTGCCGACCTGATTGCTTATGGGGCAGCAGCAATCTTCGGCCGAGAATGTTGTGTGCCTGGCAATCTCAGTGTTTTAATACATTGACTTTTGGTGGGGAATATATTATTTCAATTGTGTTTACTGTCATTTTTAAATTTCTTGGGTTCATGGTAATTGGCGTGAGATTTTCGTCAAGAAATTTTAGAAGTGAATGATGTTTGGCAGTAATTGTTAAAAGTCGAAATATGATTATTGATTAGAAATTTTTGGGTAAATGAGTGATTATCAGGCCAAATTCTGGAGAATCCTATCCAAGACGAGTATGTTCGTCTCGATATATTATAGTTTTTCCTTGGTAGAGGAGCAATCATTGACCTAATTTTTCATCACGATAGATTGAAACTAAGAAC